TCACGTGGGCAGCGTCTAGATTAACTCGAAACACCTGGAAGGGAATACCTGAGCCTTGAACAACACCATAAGACTGTTTCAGCAAACTAAATGAAGCATGGGGATAGACTGCTGATCTGACTGCTGTACAGCAGCTTCATTTAGCCTGGGCATCGGAGGGTAAGACACAGAGAGATTTCCAACAAGCAAGCAGCTCGACGAGGTGCAGCTTCAAAACACATCCGCAGACTGTGGGAAAGTGCAAACTGGTGTCAAGAAACGCTGCACAATCAAGAGAGCATGACCGCAGCCTTTCTCCAGACTCTGGCGCCTTTGACTTCCAAATGAAATACAAAAACTTGCCTTTCGTCTGAAAAGAGGACTTTGGAACCACTGTGCAACTGTCCAGTGCTCTTCTTTCCTTAGCTCCAAGTCAGACGGGCTTCTTCCCGTTGTCTTGAGTTCAGAAGTGGCTTTGACCATGGGAATACGCTATTGTAAGCCCCATTTCCCGGACCATGTCTGTGAACAGTGACTTTTGATACCTGGACTACAGCTTCAGTCCACTGTCTTTGAGCTCCCCAAATTCTGGAAGCGACTCTTTCTTCACAAATGCTGTTAAAGGCTGCGGTCCATCTCTCTTGGTTGTGCAGCGTTTCTCCTGCCACATTTTCCCCCTTCCAACAGACTTTTTGTTGGATGTGCTTTGAAACTGCACTCCTGTGAACAGCTTGGCTCTTTGAGAAATTTCTTTTTTGTGTCTTACCCTCCTGATGGAGGGTGTCAATGACGGTACCTCCTGACAGCAGTCAGATCAGCAGTGTCCCCATACTTGTGATTTAGTTTACTGAACCAAGCTGAGTGTTTTTTCAAGGGCTCAGGAACCCTTGCAGGTGTTTTCGAGTTAATTAGAACGATTCAAGTGATTCGTTGAACACCCTAACTAGTAATACTTTTCATGATATTCTAATATTTCAGAGATAGGATATTTGAGTTTTCTTGAAGCTGAATGGCATCATACATCAACTGCCAAGGATCAATGCTAAAAGCTGCTTGCAATCTTTTCATGTTGAATTACTTTTTTGAATCCAGAATGTAGTTGCCACATTTGATATGTGGTATGAATTGCATACAGAATAAAAGGATACATTTTATGTCACAATATTCAAAGTGATTTCATGTAGCTAGCTAGCTCTCTTGTTACTATGTGTCTGTTAAACTTGACTCAACTTGAAAATATCATGTGGTGCGACCAAGTCATAATATCATTTGGTGTGACCAAATATCATGTGGTGCGACGTTTATAAAGTGGTAATTATGATTAAAATAATGCCATACATTGTCAGTTTTTATGCTTTAATATTCATTTGAGGATGTTTATATTACTTATAGTACTTTAACTTTAGACTCATTATGAATAATCTTTATGCAACTTTATTCGTCTTTGAAAAATTGTTAGAGTTATGGTTAATATATCATGAAATTAGAGCAATTAATTACATTATTGTAATCATTATGATTAAATGTTTATGTATTTAATTTATTTTAACTGTTTTATTCTATTTGAACAGATGCCACTGTCAAGTAAAATAAAGAGCGCTTGCCATAGGCAGCGTGTTAATTCTGACCCTGCAGCAAGAGCTGAGTACCTTGCAAGGAGAAGAGAAAGGTATGTTGTGTTGTTGCTTTTCCTTTTTGTTAACATTTTCATCTTCTCTGTCATCTATCAACCATCCGAGATAAAATAGGCTATTCATCATAGATAAATGGCATGATGCTATACATTTGGTTTATTTATGTATGTTTCAGCTACTAGAGAAGGAAACAGCAGGGAAAGATTCCATATGTTAAGGCAAGTGAGCTGTCAGAGAGAGAGAGAGAGAAAGAAACAGAGAGAGAAATGGAGGGCTGCATCCAGTACTTACAGGGAACGGAACAATATGGCAAACCCTTTGCTTGACCTTACACCACCATCTATGGAGAACTTTTCAGATGTAGAACAAGAACAGCCAGAAAATGCAGGACAAGCTATGGTGGACCCAATACCCCTAAATGAAACTTTTAATCCCCCATCATCTTCCACACCAGAGGAAAAGAAGAAAGTTACTACAGCTTCTGCAGAAAGGCGTTGCAAAAAACTTCAGAAAGAGAAGAATACAATAAAAAAGCAGGTGTTACATCTTAGAAAACAGCTTGCATAAATGAGAAGACTTAAAGAAAAATTTCGGAAGAGTGGAAAGAGGTTAATGGCAAAAGAGAGAGTGGGCTTAAGTGGGGGAAAAAAGCACAAAGGGCCCAACATATCGGCTGAGAGAGAGCAAGCTGTTGTCCATTTTTTGTCCAGAGGCGAAAACAGTCATCTGTTGCAAGGGAAAAAAGACACCATCACGAAAAACTAAAAGAAAATGCAAAGGAGGGTTCTAACCAAGCCCCTCACTGAGCTCCATGCCCAGTACAAAAAAGAGGTCAAAGAGCATCTCTCAATGTCATACAGACAATTTGTGAGGAGGCGGCCTTTTTACATCACAGAGCCAAAAAATAGAGATAGAGAAACATGTGCATGTGTGGAACATGAGAATGTCCGCCTCTTGGTTAACAAACTTGCTACTAGAGGGTTGCTTAAAACAACCAGCATCTCAGAATTGTTGAGTATGATTGTGTGTGATCGTAAAAATAAAGCATGCATGGACCGCGAATGTCCCATTTGCTGCTTTGAAGAAATAGATATTCCTGAGACAGAGTGTGGCGAAGTTTCTTGGGATCAATGGGAGCGCGTCACATCAACAAAAGGAGAGAAAAACTTTGCAAATGTTTTAAAGCAGACATACACAGGGACAATCCAGAAGTTAAAAGAGTTGTTCCAGAAAAAGCTTGAACATATAGCCATTCATCAATTTAATTGGATACACCAAACAGAACAGTTTCGTGACCTCAAACTAAATCTCACTGACACTGAAGCAGTTCTACACATTGATTTTTCAGAGAACTATTCATGTAAGATGAGTACTGAAATACAGGCCTACCATTTTGGAGGCAGCAGAAAGCAAGCCACATTACACACTGCTGTCCACAGTCAATGGCACTAAGTCATATGCCACACTGTCGGACAGCCTCCGCCATGATGAGCGGGCAGTGTGGGCCCACCTGGAGCCCATACTGAAAGAGCTTCGGGCAACCTGCCCCCAGATTACAGTATTACATGTAATCAGTGATGGGCCCTGTACACAGTACAGGAACAAAGCAAACTTTTACCTCCTCAGCACTGTTCCCTTCCTTTCTAATTTCACACAAGTTACATGGAACTACTCAGAAAAGTCCCATGGAAAGGGAGCCCCAGATGGCATTGGTGGTGCGGTTAAGAGAGATGCAGATCTTTATGTCCAAAGAGGGGGCGACCTACAGACTCCACTGGATGTTTATGAGATGCTTGCAAAAAAAACTGGCTCAGCTATTACCTTCCATTGGATAAGCGAAGAAATCATTGAAAAATATGATGAGCTGATTCCAGGCAAATTGGCAACAGTGAAGGGCACTTTAAAGATTCACCAGGTTTTTTCTGTAGAAGCTGGTAAAATAAGTCACAGGCAGGTTTCATGCTTTTGCACACATGCAGAAATGAAGCCATGTTCATGTTACCAGCCACAACTGGTAGACATGAGGAACACCGAGCCACTCTAAGGATTTGGTAAGCACTCCTAATCCACCAAGGCAACACGCCAGTGTAAAAGACCTCAGTGGAAAGTTTGTGATTGTTACCTATGATGAACTTCCCTCTATAGGTCAGGTCCATGAGGTTGTGGAAGAAGAGGTCCAGCCAGGTGAAAAGAATGTATTCATGTGGCCACAAATTCTTGACATAATTTTCTACGATGGGGAAGATATTCAATCTATCATCGCAGAACCTGAGCCAGCAACCTCACGATTCTCTAAATTGAGCAGCCAAGATTGGGTAAAGTTCAATAGTGCCTGGGGTTGACGAAAGGCCCGAACATAGGCAATCCTGTAACCCATTTGAAGCAAGGGTAATAATATCAAATTAAATGTTGGTTCATATTGTGCACTTCACTTAAATCTGTAAAGTAAAATATTACATGTTTTTTGACAATGTTATATCCTACTAAAAGCCATACTTTTTTTGTTAGATTAAATGCTTTTTGTAAAAAGTCATACATTTGTACTGCTTTTAATGTATTGTTTTCTAATTGTTTGAGATAAAATGTATTTTAAAAATGTTACTATTCCAAAATGTGAACAACATGTGTTTGAACTCAACATTTTGTATGGTCATTTATTGTTTGTATGATCTTTATGTCATTTGGAGCGACCACTGATCATGTGGTGCGACCGTCTTTTGCCTTTACTGTATTTAAATTGAAAGAATGTATGAAATGTCTATCAATTAAAAAATGATCACTGATACAGTATGCTTGAGTGAATTGTATTGTTTTAACATTTATCTCAGTTTTATTTTATTTACAGGAAAAATAAGCCCATCAACTTCATTTATGATGATAATTTTGACATTATTTAACCAAAATATAAGATTACTTTTAACAAAATCTCTAAAGAAATGCAAATTCCTTGTTTCTAAACTCTCAAAATTACTGACAACTAGTAAAAATAGTTACAAATGTTAAGGAATTTATTTAGTTTTAAGAAAAAACATGGTCGCACCACATTACTTTTTATAAGGACGTGGCTGTTTCATCTAGATGAAAAAACACTTAAATATTATTTGTTATATGGATTTATGCGTGCTCAACATTCTTAATGTTATAAAAATGTTAATAGATATTCTTAATTTTTGCATTTAAAAAAATGGCCTGTTGAAAATCAATAAACGTCATTGACCCAAAGCTGTGTTGTTGTAGTATTAAACCACACTTGAATTTCCACCAGCAACCACAGGTTTCCCAAAACTAACAGGATTACAATCTTAAGCCTTTATTTGATCCATAAAGCCTATAGCTACATGCTCTAAAAGCATAACTATCTCAGCTGGAGATCTCCTGTTTCCTTTGCATCTTTTTAAGGGTTTATCCCCCAGACAGAGCAGTGTATGTCTGCGTGCACGTGTGTGGCCTACCTGGGACCTTAATCCTCTTGTCTGGATCGGAAACCGTCCAGATAAACACCATCATGTCCATCCCACCGGTGGCAAAGTGCTCGTTGTCAGGTGACCAGGCCAGAGTCACAGGTTTGGCGTGGTGTCCGTAAAAGTTATTTTTTACCTGGTGGAAAAAAGAAAGAAAAAAAGGGAAGCGTAAAAGATATTTAGAAAAATAAACAAAACGAGTACAACACTGGATAGTGAATCATTCACAACAACTGCATGTTTATAAATCAGACTACGATTCATCCTGGAGGGAATTGGGTTTAATGACTCCATTGAAAAATTAAATAACATTTAAAGACAAAGAAAACAAATATGTATTTAAACATAAGTAAGAAAATGCTTTTTATATAAACAAAAGTTAAAGTAAAATGTCCAATCAAACATAAAATTAAAAAAATAGAATAATAAATCAATTGTGCACATTGTACTGCAATACATAACATGTAAATGAAAAAGAAACGGTAACGGTAATAAGATATTAATCCAGCACAGTTTCAAAGGTTTTGCTGCTGATAGTGAAGAATGTCCCGTCACAGATAATTACCGAGTAGTCGTCAGCCACGGTGAAAACGGAGGTGACTTTCTTATCATCTATGAGAGCCAGATAGGCCCCGTCGTTAGAGTAGGCCATGTCAGTGATCGCTCCTGAGAGCTCGATGGTTTTCCCCTCGTCCTTCAGAGTGTTGCCCTGAACAGAGTACAGACGGACCTTCCCATCCTGAGGGGGAGAAAGGAGGAAATTCATCTCAAATCATCTCACCAAAGGTATGGGGGGGGGGGGGGGGGGGTGACACATGCTGAAGGGGCTATATCTTCCCCTGAACTCAACAGTACTTCCTCAGACGAAGTAAAGCTGACTGAACTCAAGTTTGGACAGATGGTGTGTTTTAAGGTTTGCACTTACTGCTCCCCCCACGGCTGCAGTGGACCCCCCCGGGTGGAGGGCTCCAACCTCTGCTTCGTAGTCCAGGTTGTCCATTGTGAAGACTTTCTTCTTATTCTTCAGCAAGACAACCTAGAAAATAGGAGACATAACAAATGATGCAGTCACAGCACTTGCTGACAAGGACCCTTCAAATGGTTGTTGGAGGTAAATGAAATGCAAATGAGAGAAAACCCATTACCTGTCCAATGCAGACGGCCAGAGACAGCCCTCCTGCTGCGACAGACACACTTTTAGGCTGGAAATCCATCTTCACCACATCAGAGGCACTGAAAACCACAAGATAGGGTTATGCATAAGAACTAGGCATCGTTACATTAAGGAGGTGGATAAATGATCGATTTCTGAAAGTCACTTTTGAGGTCCAAGAGAGGCAGGTATTCTAAAACTAAGAGCAGAAACAGATGACTTTTCTCCCTCAAGCTGTCGGTGTTGTTTTACTGAGATCTAACTACAACACAGGACACACTGCATTTGTTTCAAAAGAAGGGCACAGCGGATACGTTTATAACATGTTTTCCATCTGTTGGTCATCATCTTCACAAAAGGCAGATTTGTCTCCTAGTTGATAAACCGTGAACATGGTTAGGCAGCTTTTGCTGATTACTTATCCAACCTATGAAAAAGATTTGTTTTGCCACATCCGAGAGAGTAGAGTTCCGATGTTTTTGTTGTTTGGATCCCTTAGCATTCTCTCTGGTAGACAGAACAGATCGTGTATAAGTCTAGGGCTTTTATTGTGAGTGAAGAGCTCGTCACCCAGAGGCAGGTAGAATTGCGATGTAAAAGCATCTACTTCAATTTCAAGTATCAGCTTATGTGTGGAACTTTCATTTCCCCTTCACGTGATACTAAAACATTTACTTTGCTGCATTGCTTTTGGAATCGACAGCGTTGCAAAGAAATGTGTATAAATACACGTCCTACGCATACATGTATGAAAGACTCAAGTAACTATATCAGGGGACGCTTATAATGATGTTCCGTGCTGACACGGGAAGCATCCCTCAAATATGGAAGAAAGCTGTCATCATACCAGTTGCAAAAAAAACATGCCCACATGACAACGACTTCAGACCAGTGGCTTTGACCTCAATAGTTATGAATTCGCTAGAACGGATTGTTGTAGGGAACTTACGAACTGAGGTGCAACATCTCTTGGACCCCTACCAGTTTGCATATAGCGATGGTAGAGGTACAGATTATGCTCTGACCTCTACAACTCACTTTATTTTTTAAAAAACCTGGAAAATCCTTCAGCTTAAGCTAGATTAATGTTCATGGACTTTAGCTCAGCTTTTAATACTATTCTTCCCCAAATGATGTTAAAAAAGCTCAAACTGATGGATTTGAATCCTTATTGAATCAGATGGCATCACTCCTTCCTAACTGAAGGACAGCAGCAGGTGAAAGTAAACTCGACCCTCTCTGACACACAGGTCATAAGCACAGGGCACCACAAGGCTGCGTTAGCTCTCCTCTTCAGACTCTATACCAGGGGCCGGCAACCTTTTTGATATGAAGTGCCATTCAAAAAATAAATTGTTATCGGCGTGCCAACGATCGAGAATTATCAAGGGGGGGGAGCCTCGCTGCAGGGAAGCAGTGTGTGGACTTGTCAGCGCAACTTACATGATGCCAAATTTCTTTTTTTTCTTTTTTTTAAATAATTGGTTTAAACGGCATAATAATAAGGACGATCGTCCGTTCTGTGATTCTCCAGAACACACATGTTATAATATTAGGGTCAGGCAGAGTGAGATGAGATCGCTGTCCCTTTAAGAGAGAGAGAGAGAGAGAGAGAGAGAGGGGTGTGGCGTGTGCATGTGTGTGGATGGTAGAGCGAGAGTGAGCGAGCGTGCGTATGTTTCTGGAAGTGAAACGAGGAAGCAGAAAAACAGAGGTCTGTGATGTATTTTGTGAAACAGAAGAACAGCTAAATAAATGCAACGGCCTCCCAAGAAGAGCTCGCCTCTCTCCAGTCATTTAAGCTAAAGTGGGTTATTGAACCTGAAGCTTGTTGCTTCAGCCCTCCTCGATTACGGTCTGGGAGCCGACAGGAAAGTTCAACACGCAGATGGCCAGTCCGCCCCTTTGTAGCATATTATTTCGATGAGAGATGAGCAGATCGCCACTGGGCTTTCAACTACCGTAATTTTCGGACTATAAGCCGCACCTGAATATAAGCCGCAGCAGCGGCATACCACTCTCGGTTCCACTTTTACTTTTGCGCGCTACCTGTCTCACTCTTTTCCGGCCTCCAGCTTTTCCTGCTGGAACCCGCCGCTTAAAGGTGGGGGTCCGCGGACCGGCCATAGAGCCCAGAGTTAAAGGTGTTGGCCGTTAGCTGTAAAAA